GGAAATACGTCAAATGATGCAAGTTATGGAGGTGCTCGTGAGCCTTGACTTTAACTTCTGAAATCATGATCTACTTCTTCTGGTTTTATTTCTGTGCTTTTGAACATAACGAACCATTTGTTTTACTATCACTTTTAGGATGTCATTGCTGTACTATTCTGTGAAAAGCGCTCATGAGGTAAGCCTGGCCTAAATTCTGAAGTCGCGCTTAGTGTTCGTTCAATGTAATGGCGTAACATGGCTGCGTTTTCAATAGACTCCAGTTTTCTGCCTCGCAGTCTACTTTTTGTTCTCGCAGTCTACGGCTTTTCTCGGAGTCGATTCTCGATTCATGTTAATGCTAGATGAAATCCTTCGTCTTAAATTCGGACCAAACTGCGTAATCTTTGAGCTCGATTTAAGAATGGCCCTCGCAACTTCGATGATCAGCATTGTTTGTCGTTTGTACAAGATGGCGGATAGTAGTACCAAATGGAGTTTATGAAAGCATTCGAGCACAGTATAGCGATCTACAATTCCTCACTGAGGCCGTCAAAAGCCATGATTTATGTGTAAACGAAGCGACGATAAAGAAAACCGAATTTGCGCAAAGAACTATTGAAAATAAAGCAAATTGAAGTGTTGGAGCGAGCGAACACATTTGCGTCATAGGTGGCTGGCCACGAGGCGTAGTTTAGTTGAAGGCTAAGTTGATCGATATCGACTCGTGCAGAAACACGTCTTCTTCCTCTTCCTCGGTTTTTGTTTTGCTTTTTTATTCATTCGCGCACTTCTAACATTCTCTCCGCTGCTTCATTTCAGGTTATCTTCAGCACTGCACCATTCAATAGATAAGGTAAGCTTGTTTTTCTATTTCAAAAGTGAAAGTGATTCAGTCGTATTTTTCTCTCTGACAAACAACAAAATAGTCTGCCACGAAGCTTCGGTTTTACTACTACTTCTGTGTACATTTGTCGATGTTTCCATTTGATAAAATAAGGCTATTAAGTAAAAGTTCTGTAATTAGACATTCCCTCAAAGAACTGCACGCTAACAGAGCAAGCTTTCTTATCGCAGTTTACACCAATATGAAAGCAAAGACTTCACTTATGTTCGTTGAAAATCAATGATTCCAATGAATCATTTTACCACAGTGCCATGCTTTTCTTAGTGTTAATCAACTCTTTAGTGAAAGAAAAACCCACAGATTCTCTGTTCAAATTGGAAACCATCTCAGGTAGCAAAGGCAAGTACAAGATATCCTAAACGAAACTGTAAATGCACATCTTCACTGCCAATAAGCTTGTAGAGAGATCTAAGGTTTTGGTGACTCAGAGCTATGTGAATATGTTTCAGCAAACACACTGCGTTCTTCGTGTCTTTTAGGAACTTCAACATGGAATAGAGATTGATGACGATCTTGAAGATGCTTCAAGAAACTGAACTTTTATCTCTTTGAACCGTTCTTTTGTTCTTCACCTAATTAAGCATTAGATGTTACAGGGACATGATTGTTAAAAGTAGAAAGATTGTGTAGTTTTTTCAAGGTTTCTCTGAGTATGATATGCGAAAGCGATTTGCCTCAATTTTGCATTAATTTAATAGGATATCACCAGAAATTACAAGGACATGACTGTTAACAGTAGAAAGATTGTTACGTTTTGCCAAGGTTTCTCTCATGCGAAAGCTTCTTGTTTAACATTTGCACTCGTGTAAAAGGATAACAATTAAAATTTCGAATAAATGTAGGACTTTTTTCCTTCCACACAAAAATTTGGTGTGCTCTGTTCTCACTCGACACATTCTTAAGCGATAGATAAAGGATGCCTCCAATTCAGAATAAATCCCTCACTTTAAGTAAGAATTTTCCATGAGACAACTCCATGAATATAAAAAGCTAACCATCCAAAGCATTTTTTGTCAAACATTTTGGTATTATAAGCTGGATTTTTAGGGCCTAAAACTCAGTTAGCTAACGGATTTTGGCTACGAAACAAGAACACAAACATCATTTGATGCCGAGCGCGCTTCAAACGCGTTCTACGATATCTTGCCAGCATCTATGAATTGGTTATTTTAGCCTATCCGACTAAACGCTGCTTGAAAATCAAAGACTAAAACTTGGCAAGGCAAGGTTTAAAAATGATGTAAACTACATACTTTGTTAAACGTTTTCTAACTATGCCCTGTAAACACATATTTGTGAAACAATGGCCGATTGTAGCGTAGATGATAATGAAAACCATGTAGGCGTGCAGCGTTTAGGAAGAACAGATTCCTTCAATATAGCTCAGATCTTGACCCACGTATTTTAGAGAGAAAATATGGCTAGCGCAACGACATTTACGGATATTTATTGGCGACTTCTGGCAGTCTTTTCATCAATAAAAAAAATTGGCAAAGGTCGGATGTGCCACCCTTGTTAATGATGTTTTCTCTGAGAAATTTCAAAACACTGAAATTTAGCACCCAGCGATCTGATTCGCTACAAGTTGACAGCATGAAATTTGCAACTCGGTGAATTGTGAATTGTCAATCAATCAAATCAAGATTAGCGTCAGTTTGGCAGGCCTGTACTATAATAGCCTGTGTGTCAATCAGTAAGGCTTTCGGCTGATGTCCGGGGAACAAGGGACTTGTTATTCTTTTCGCAACTTAAGCCTAGACATGCCTTGTAGATCATACGTTTGTTGAAACTCTACAAAGGACACTACCTAACATCGCCCTACAACACTACAAGTCTTGTAAATGCAAAGACGGTTGTGAATACTTCTGTTTTGTGCAGAGGTTCTCTTAAATGGTGTTTGAAACTCTAGCAACCTACAAGAATACTCGCTTTCTTCGCCTGTTCAGTTTCGTGTAAGCATTATACCAACGGGTTTGTTTTTCTCTGACGATTTAAGGTTAGTTTTCAGGTCTTAATGAGCAACGTTTTTGCAAAAGCCGTCACTTTCCGACAGAACCACACAATCGTTGAGTTCAATAAGGCGGATGCGATCCTTGTATTATCCACCAGTCGCTTTTAAGTGAACTTTATGATATTTTTACTGGAAAATTTCATCGAAATTGACTTAAAGAGACCTTTCACGAAAAGATTAGTACGTTTGCAAAGAATAAAAACCGAAAAATTCATTTTAGCGGTCAACATTCTTTGCGAGAGACGATACGACGCCTATTTCTAGCACGAGGTTGCATAAATTTGGAGCGCAGTCATTTCACCGAGTTGCGTCAAAAAGATGTTAAGGCATTCCAAAACACGCTCTCGCGAAAGAGATAGTCAGAACGCTAGCACAAGGAAGAATTTTAAATTTGGCGTGCGCAGCAATCCTTAGTTTAAAAATTGTCCACTACATGGCAACAAGACGACATTCTCCGTCACATTAAAGTCTACACGTCAGTTGTGTACTAGGAATGCGCCCTGCTCGGAATAATCCGGAAACAATTATGCAAAAATCATGTTTTCATGTTTCTAAAATGTGCATAAATCGGAATTATCCAGGAACGATTCCGCAATGTAAAGATTTAATTTCCTTTCAAAGTGAAAACCGCGGATTTGTAGGGAAATTTCAGTTAAATTTAGAGACGCAACAATAACTACAAGACAATAGTCGCGCGATCATCAAAAAAATTCTGGTCAGCTGAGAATGTTTCACAAGTCACGCGCAACAAATACTGCCCACTAACCCAGTCACATTATTCGAGTTGACTTCGAACTTTCTGGATTGTACTCCACGTTGTGAAAAGTTCGCGTATCTTAATTCGTTTAGAAAGATGAGCGATACCGACGACGATAAAAAAAAGAAAGAAAAGATACGTCAGAGTGAACGCCGAGTAACAGCTAATAACAAAACCAAAGAACCCTCTTACAACAAAAAGAACGATTCACAGCAAAAACAGACTCAAAGATCCACCGATCAAGAAAATAAAAAGAAGAAAGAGAAGAAAAAGGACGAAGAGTGAGTATGTAGTTCTTTTCTTGGTTGAATTTTTTTTTTCAAATGGACTGGTCTTCTGTGCCACGAAGAGGGGGCTTGTGAAGAGCTGTTGTCCATCGAAGAACACCGTCTAGTCAGTTTAAAATGGCGGACTAGCCGCCACGGGTCAAAGCAAAGCATAATGTTCGAGGAAAACTCGTCTCTTTACTAACTGTTATGAATTTTCAAGTTTCGCCGTTCGTTTGAAGATCCACAGATCGAACTAGTATTTCATTTCAAAATTCTGTAGGGATAAACAAATTTGAAACATCGCGCGGGTTAAAAAATCATGTGTACAACTAGGTGAAACATAGGCTTTTACGTGGCTAATGTTTTGCGCTCTTCCATAGAATGCGTTTTTACTACACTCTACTCAATGTAGTTTTCCTGGTACATCTAACATTGCTTTTCTTCTCTACTTCAGCTGACGAATCCCGTAAACTATAAAGGTGAGATGTTTGCTTCTTTCAAACCGAAAGTGATTCCTTGTTGCCGCCCAAGGCTTATTTGTAATTTTTTGTTTGCAATTGCTCGGTTGCAATTTGGGGAAAGCTTGTAGAAGTGAAGAGGACATTTCATCGCTGCTTCTGATTATATATGAATATTTTAGTTCGTGCCACGGCGATATAAGATCAAGAAGAAGGAAAAACTTGACGAAGTGTTTCCTTCCGTCATCTTCGCTCGGAAAGCACCACCTCAGACCCTCAATTAAAATGACCTAAGCAAATTGTTTCATGAAATTTCGTGGCAGTTATCAGGTTCAATCGCTCGGTGCATTATCCTATGAGAATGTCTTCTTTGTAAACGACATTTTACTAAAGTATAATCGATTATTTCAACTCTGCAAGCGTTTAGAGTGCATTTGCTATCACATGCTTCAAAATGGCGGATTTAGTAAAGGATATATTCAGTGCGTCATGGGAGACATGAGTCCATGATAGCGCACGCTAACGGAGTTTCATAACTCGAGGTTGAATTTGTTTGTTATGTGAAATTTCTCTCGCAAAATACTGTTCTGCGTCGAAGAGAGTGGAACTCGTTTTAGCTCAAAATGGCGTTCTAGATTAGGGCGCCACGTGTCAAAGCAAGCTATTCAGTTGGAGGAAAATTTTTGTCTTTTTGTTTTTTGCTTTTACTTAGGTTTACACGGGTTTCACCTTTTATTTAAAGATCTGAAGAATTGCGGTGCAAATTTTTCACATCGCCCGTAAATGGTCAAGGTCGTATTTCTTTCTATATTTCTGGCGCATTTAACATGCCTTTTTTCTCTCTTCTTTAGGTGACGAATACTGGAACTTAATAAGGTAAGAAGTTTGCTCTTTTTCAAGTCGTGATTCTTTGTTGCATTCGTTTGCCACCTAAGGTTGGTTCCAAAAGATTTTCGAGGCGCCACTGCAGTTTGCTCTTTTGAGGCAAGCTTGTTTGCGCGAAGAGGGTATTTTGTCGTTTCTTGTGATCTTAAACAATTCTTTAGTTCAATTCGTTTGCGATATAAGTTGAATGTGAAATGAAAACCTTGTCAAAGTTTTCCTTTTCACCATATTTGCTCCAATTTGCTCCAATTTGCTCCAATTGATCATTTCAACTCTACGAAAGTTCATAGTGCTTTTGAAATCACATGCTTGAAATGGCGGAACATGTTATGTTCAGTGCATCTTTCGTTCTCCCTTACTTCGTCGCGAGTGAAATTCGATAGCAAATTCGTGTTACAAGCTCGGGAATATATTATTATTAGGAAATACATTCTGCTGTTGTTTATTGGGAAGTTGCGAATAAAGTCTCAAAAATTTGACACGAAACATGAGCTACACTCACAGAAAGCAACTTTTCATTCGACACCCACAACTAAGCAGTTCCAAAGTTTCAAAAAACTACTGAGGACTTTTCAAAGAACAAGGCTTTTACCTTATATGAATGATCTTCGCTAGTAAATAAAAGCTTTATGGATAATATCAGAATAGTAAAATGGAACAATGTCGTTTAGGGTGCCCATTGATTTCTAATGTACTCAAAGCTACAGTCACTTCGAGAGTGTGAAAATACACTGCTTTTTTCTTCTCCGGTAATGTTTCTCGACTAAAGAGTGAAAGATGACTAATAATATTTTATTATCCTATTGACATTTAGACTTGAAAGAGAGAAGAATTATGAAACCTTAGAGACAAGGACGGATAAAGCTTTCTTTTTTCCAGTGGTCAAATTTTGTTGCTATAACTTTAATCGATGTTGTTTTATAATCTTTGTGTAATTTTTTTGATGTCGTGTAATTCGTTTTTGATCAGTGTCACAAAGCATCTGATTTTGTTGGTTTCTGTTTTGATGCCATGAAAATTTGTATGCTTTCATTTACAAAACAGATTTGTCACAGTTCATAAATTTAAGATTTTTGTGTTTGAGAAAAAGACATCAAAGTAAGATTCACGGAATAAAATTTGTAAACAGTATTTTGTAGCTCTTGAGATTTGTATGATGTATTATTGTACAAAACTGTGAACAATTATTAATAAAATTTGTTAAAGATGACTTTGTGTGTAGATCAATGAAGTGCTGCTAGATTTACAGGGGGTGAAGTAAAATATTATAGACAAGTTTGATCAAATCCAATATTCTCCTAACCTTTTCTGATAAATAGCCTATTGATTGTGAAGGGAAAATTTAGATGTGAATTGATTATACCATTTTTGTTCTCTGAGAGCGTGGATAAAAACATTTTGCAATGAATTGGCACCAAAAAATCTCACTTCTTTTAAAGCCATAATCCTCAAGGGAGGAAATACATAACATAATGATTTTCCGTCTGATTTCCACCGGATATCCGGGTATTCCGCACAAATGAACAGCCTGTGGTATGCATAATATAAAATCACTTTTACTGGAACATCCCGAGAGTTAAGTACCGCACATCCAGCGCCACCCATTTTCAGACTTTGGTGTCTCAAGGGGTAACCACCCAGAGACCGAGTTTGCGCAGTGGGTAATTGGGTCCCAGTCGTGCTCGTTTTGATCCAACGCGTTTCAAAAATAAACCCTGGGACGAAATAAAATTCTGAATCACACAACCAACATTTCTCGAAAAGATCGCCACAAACCCAGCTGCGCTTCTGCTCAGTTGATCGCGTTACTGAATAGCTGCAACGAGAGTGGCTGGAGCTCACACAAAAGAGACGGAAAAAAAATTATTAACTACGACAGAATTGGGAGATTCCAACGCAGTAAATGCAAAACAGGAAGTGGTAAAGAAGCATTTCGGACATCGCGAGTACGTATGAGATGCAAGTAATTAGCAAATGAATCCTCACAAAAAGTACCTCCAAAGGAAATATTCACTGTTTGTCATGCGCTTGGCACAATGCCGTTAATTTTTTCAGAATAAGCCTTAAATTTTGTGATTTAGTGCATGATAACGTAAGGTCTATTTTGCTGCGACGCGATCCTTCAACAAAGGTAAGCTCATAACGGTGGAAAAATATTGCATATCGTATTCTAAGAATGGGCTTGTACGGACTTTAAGTTTTAATAGATCCCAAAATTAAAAGAAAAGGAAAGAAAGGGTCATGTACCTAAATGGCTCTTCAAGAGAGATCTTAAGAGAGTGTATATAAACTTATCTCTTATTATCTAACAAATCAAGGCGTAGAGGCAGATCAAAATATTAAAGAAAGATTTATTTGTGTTATCACAAGCCAGCGACAAAGAAAAAATCCGAGTTTCCGCGAAGAATCGAATTACAGACCTTTTGGATTCCGGGTAACAACAGATGCTCTACCACTGAGCCCTAGAGAATTCTATGGTAAGTCAGGCCGTTAATTGACCAAAAGTTTGATTGAAAGGGGTACAAAATAAGCCGATCAACAAAGTCAAGTAGAAGTATACGACAGAGGAATATTAATATTTTGCATTGTGCGTGTCTGTATATACTGAGGAGCTGTTACGCTATTAAACATTTCACTTCTGGTGAACTTCTGTGTAGTCTTATTCATATAAAAGCGATCAACCAAAAATAAATTCGAAATATCTTCATCAATAAGTCTTCAAGCTCGACACCTTGGAGGCATCAAGGACATATTTGAACGCTTTTTTTATCAGTAAAACTAAACCCCAGATTTCTTACGGTGATACGCAACTCTAAGTCTATTCATGTTGCAGCTCGTGTTAGGTGTAAGTCGAAGTAAAAGATTTTATAATGTTGTGAGAACCTAATTACTTTGTATGCTACTAATTGAATTGGAAATTAACGATTTTATTTGTGAAAGTCTTATCCAATATAATGAAACCGACTTTAAGTTGAAAATCTTCAAATATACTAATATTTGGTTTATTTATGCATTTATTTGCGTTTAATAGGTTTTACGAGTATTACAAATCTTTAATCTTAAGTGCATAATCTAAGTTGTTCTCATCAACGACACATTAACATTGTGTTCAAGTTGCTGTGAAATCTGATCGTTAAATTAGCGCAAGTTTTACTATAAAAAGCTACACAAACAATGACTTGAGCGCGCTTCGAAAACTTTTGAATAGTAAACCCAAAACAAAACATTCCAAAATCACTGAAGATATTTAGCGCAATATGGTTGACATAAGAACTGCGAAACAACGGAGACGCAAGAGGATTCCACGATGGACTGGAACTGGAGACTAGAGTCAGTAAGTGGTGAATAGTCTCCAAACGGTCGACCTCACATTAACCTGCGCGGAAATTTTCATAGCGCGACAACAGAGAAGGTCGTGCGCGAAAAAGTGAACAGCCACGCGTGTACTTCGCAGTTTAGACTATGCGCGCAAGAAATTTATGTAAAGTTTAACGTTCCATCCAGAGTTGCCATGCGCCGATCATTAAAATATTTGTATCTCGTGCACAAAGGAGAAGTCATTGGGAAATCATTTCACACGCGTTTCACAATCGGCAATGTCAACTAAACTCCGAATGAAGCCAATATTTATGAATTTACCAAAGAATATCAGTGTTAAACAGCGTCACCGTTAAACAATCTTCCACACATAGATTACCCCCTCGGAAAAAAGTTGTAAACAATCAGCGGTTGTCTTCTAATTAAAAGCACCATAATTCCTACATCTCTCTAAGACTAAGCTAATCCTGGTTTAAGCAGGGCCGGAAACAAGGAATAAAGTCCTGGCATTAGGTTAACTGCGAGATGGAATTAAATCCATGAAGATCTTATCGATCTGTCTCGCAAGAGTCCTAATGAAACAGGCGCAAGACAACAAGGGCTCTCATTGTAGCATGAGCTCTGTAAGTTATCTAAGTTTCGGTTACCTTATATCCGCCCTCCTTTGAAGTTTCACATCCGTTGAGAATCCCATTTGGTTCAACTTCTTATAATCCCATGCTTTGGAGAACAGTCTTAAAAGTTTGACTCTTTTTTGAGTTGCGGTATTATCAAAAAGAAATACAACACGCCTTGCGTCGACGTGGTAAATGGTCAGAACTCCAGCTTTAAAAAGCAGTAATCAGGACGCGTAATCAATAGTTTCCATAGTGATCGTAATTGGCGTTTCGGAATACTCCTATTGGTTAATTTATATAGCGCGGCATGCAAACTATGCACGTGCAGCACACGCAGGTTATTTATTCTCCGTCGACTTTGACCTTTTTCCGGGCGCTTCCTTGATTTAAACAAAAAAGAAAAACAAACAAACAAACGAAAAAAACGCGTGCATGCGCAGAGAATTTTCTTTTCATATATAAACAAACAAACCACTTACTTTGACATCGCAAAATTTCGTAGAAAACATGTGGAAAAGGCATTTGAAAATCAGTCGTGGCTTCCACCATTCGCGTCTCTCTCTGAAAGTGGATTTTTCTGAGTTACGCTAATAATTTGATTCTAAATAATTCCGACGCATCAAGGAACTGTTGATCCATTCTTATAAGTAGATAAACTACGTCTACCATTTTAACCAGTGCGCAAGATTGACTCGACCAAGTGTTTCTTGTGCGTTGTTCAAAGTTGCTTCAAAGAGTATCATTTCGATTTCATTTGGTAGACACTTGTTAGAATAGAACTTTGCAATTCCCTTTTCACAGAAACATGCCACAGTTTTGTCACAACTTTTCCAGATTTTTTTAACCCATCCATGCTTGAAACCTGGCCTTAATGGTTGGAGTTCGTTCAGTATTCGCATTAAGATTTTCTCCCGAAATCTCACGGTTGCATCTATTTTTCTGTCCCTCTCCCCTTTCCATGTCATCTCTTTTTGTCTCATACTTTTCAATAGAGCAAATATATATAGGCTATCAAGTCATCCATTTTGGCTTCCCCTTGCTGAAACAAGAATTTTTTGGCTCCATTATTGCATCCATAAGCTAAACCCTTCTTTTAAAAGCAAGCACTTTTTTGTTCCAGGAAAATGTGTGGCAGCTGTTTGAGGAGAAGAATGTGTTGTTGACATAATCAGTCTTTGAATAGATCCAAAATTCATTATATCCTGTTTTGAAATTATGAAATACACAGACAAAATCACAGTTGATTCAAACACCCTTTCAGCAATACACATAACATTTTTGTCAGCCACCACCTAATGTGATGGACATCACATTTCAGTAGATGATTAATTCATTAACTTGAGAGATTGAGAGAAAATTGGAGGGTGAGCTTTGCACCTTCCTTTGTCATATTTCAGGATCATTTGATGCAGTAAACAGCTGTCAATCAAGCAATGTGAATATTGCCTATTCCATCCAATTTCTTAGATATTTTACACTTCAGCTACCATAGATGTCCTTAGTCAGAAACTTAATAACTTTGTAAAGACATTGCACAGCTTGTAAACTCTTACTGCTGGACCAAAGTAGTATAATTTTTGGTCTGAATGTAATATAATGTATAAAATTACTCCCTGTATTTACTGAATACTTTCAGAGAACTTAATCAGTGATCTGACTATTTTAAAACAAAACATTTGTTTATTACAAGTCCCAACAGTTTTTCAGGATTAGCAAAAATTTTGTCCTCCTTGACTTTGAGTGGCTTTATAAACAAATAAAAATACTATTCATTATATTGTTTTGGAGGGAAAAAGAGGAATTGGCTGATTTGATAAATAAATGTAATTTCTTGACAACTACTTGAATAATGTGCTAAGCCCATATTTCTTGCAGTAAATGGTTTGAACCCGGGGGTAACATGTGAAGGTGTAGTCTGATTGTCCGGGTGAGTGTAGTCCTGAGAAGGACTGTTGTCGGTGGTAGTGACTGACGTTTCGACAACCTGTGCGGAAGTCATCATCAGAGTCACTTGACTCTGACTTCCACACAGGTTGTCGAAACGTCAGTCACTACCACCGACAACAGTCCTTCTCAGGACTACACTCACCCGGATGATCAGACTACACCTTCACCCATATTTCATGTTGATAAATAACATCCATAACAATTGTTANGGAATATTGAGCCTTGTAACACAGAAGAATTCAGCCGATAATTTCTTTACACTGACCAATCATTTTACACGAACTGGAAAAAGAACATTCTACTGACGACAAATATTTTCTTTAATCTGGTGCTGACTTCCACACAGGTTGTCGAAACGTCAGTCACTACCACCGACAACAGTCCTTCTCAGGACTACACTCACCCGGATGATCAGACTACACCTTCACCCATATTTCATGTTGACAAATAACATCCATAACAATTGTTACCACTAAAACAACACTGCTTCCAAAATCAACTTTGGAAAAAACTTTCCCAACAGTCTTAAAACACAGAGCAACACTCAAGATATAGTACTAAAGTGTTCTCCAAAATAAACACAAACAAAACAGATATAAATTATATTGTATGTTCATGGGCACTTCAATGAAAATGTGCTCCAAAAGAATTAGCTTTCATTGAGCGATCAGTCATGTTCATGCTAACAAATTGTAAAACACAAGTTTCAAAAGCACACACGAAGCAGGAAAGTTACAAACACAAAAAGACTATCAAATATTTTCTAACTACTCTGTCATAAGTTTGACTCATTTTAGCACCAAGGTAATAAACAGAGCTTTTTCACTCATTGCAATCCTCCTAACTATCTACTGTATACAATTCTTATGAAGTTAATTTGGAGAATTTGGTATTGGATCAACTAAAAATCCTCTTTGCTGATTGATATTTTCTTAATTCTCATCAGTAGGCTGCTTGAAATTGTATTGCTATTGTAAGGAGAAATTCTTTCTTGATCACTCATGGGAGTTCTAGGGTCCAAATTATTGGTAATTCAAATCACAACACACCTTTCAAAACAATTTACTAATCAGGGTTAGTATTTATTTAGAATAACAGTACTTGCAAGGTACTCACTTTTTGTTGTTTTAATGGGCTTTATTTTCATAATATAGATTTCTTCACTTGTATAACTTTGTTGAAGTAAACATTGATTTCACTGTAAACCACAAACACCTGAGGTTGTATCCCTGAGAAGAAGCAAATAAAAGAAACTACAGTTTATTTAATGTGCCTGATATCATCCCCAGAAACAATATCCTTTTTATCCAAGCATCATTTAAAAATTGAATTAAATTTTCTTTGGCTAAAGCTGATATTTTCTTGGCCCCTGATTTGTAAAAGAAACTCAAAATTGAATACAACAACACTAGAACTTTGGTAAAAACTCAAAGGTCAAAGATCTCTAATAAGGGCTGAAAGATTATCATCATCATACCTTCGAGGAAGAAAATGATATGTAGATATTTACACCTTCCCTGCAATTCTTAACTGTGGGTTTGTTTAGAGTATTCCTAAGTAAATGGCTCTGATCTTGTATCTGATAAGAGAAAACCACCATCTAGCTATCATTATCATTTAACTATAAATGGTTTGAACCCAGAATTGACAGTTGGTTTTAAGTTGGTCATCTTTGTGAGAGAGGTGGGTGCCAAAAAGAGTTTGTTTCCAGAGGAAGTGACTGATTATTTCAACAGCTTCAGCAGAAATGTGTCGAGACAACTTGAAGTCAATGCTTGACTCTTCTGTCAACTTCTTACAAGTTCTTGAGATAATAATGTCTTTACCGTTGACAGCAGTCTTTTTTATGATTCTCTCAACTGACTGATCAAGTATCATGTTGTCTGATCAATTTTTGTTATCTTTCCCTACCATTTCTTCAGCACTATCTATAGAATGGCGATGGCAAGAACCTCGGGAGAGCTCACATCACCATACTCCAAAGCTCAAGAACATACATTACCAGGAGCCACCTAAACTAAAAATGTTTTGGATTGAATGCTTTAACAATAACCTGCAGGCAATCTGCAGACCCACACACGCCAGTTTGTTTACAGTTTACTTAAGTTCACACTCCGTGATAGTACCAGTTTGGCTCTCCTTTCGTGATTAAAGCAGCATTCGGTAGATTAGTGAGGTCTGCCATCCGAAGTTTGCAAACCTCTCACACTGCATTGGGAAAAGTTAGCTATATACCAATGTTATGAGCACGATTTCTTTATAGACTACCTTTATAGAGTATCAAGCATCATTTAAAAATTGAATTAAATTTTCTATGGCTAAAGCTGATATTTTCTTGGTCCCTGATTTGTAAAAGAAACTCAAAATTGAATACAACAACACTAGAACTTTGGTAAAAACTCAAAAGTCAAAGATCTCTAATGAGGGCTGAAAGATTATCAGGATCATACCTCTGAGGTAGAAAATGATATGCAGATATTTACACCTTCCCTGCGATTCTGCCTGCCTGAGATTCCTTGCCTCGTTCTCAGTGTAAAGTGTCGTATCTATAAGTATGCTCCATCATAGGAATATATCTATCTATATATCTACATTTATACAGGATAGCCCCTTCAGTGTAGTAAACACTGGTATCAACGGGGGTCCTGTTAACCACCCGTCCCACCCCAGGGGAGGACATCCATTACACAGTAATCTCGTGCGTGGGAAATTAACGTCTCCTGCCCCTAGCCCTGCAAGAGACGGGACCTCCATTTATTCGTCCCTATCCGAGAATATCGGCATGATTGTATGTTAACTATGAATATCAATGTTGTTAAAGGTATTTAAATGATGTGAACAATGATTAAATTTGTTGTAGTTTGTGACCGTACAACCGGTCACAATGTTTTCTAAGTCACACTTTTGTACGTATTCGTTCTAACACTGTTACTGAGTTGAGAGTGTAGAAAGCAGAGTAATTAACGTCATGAGATTAAGAGACGAGAACTAAAGTGGATACTGTGAAAATCTGGCATCGGAGAAAAAGTGTATACATTTTAAAATGACCAATGATTAACTTGCGAAGAGCCACGAGGTCAAGTTGTCAACCTGAGTCCTTAACAAGTTACCACAATATCATAGAAGATCTTGCCACGGTATACATCGAAAATCTTGTGTAGTTAAACGGTTATTTTCTATTTCTAATCGTAAGCGATTTAAGTAAATACTCTCCAGTAGATAGGTCGAAACAATTCTTAATAATCGTCTCCAAATTAGGAGAATCTAAGTCGTAAATTTTGTGTACCGCTCGACGATTTCAAAGGCCGCATTATTCATAGGTAGAATTTCCACAGGTAGTTTTTGAAAAATTTTTAAGGCTGGAAGTTAAACCTTTTGGTGAGAAAACTTTGAGAAAAATTCACCTTAGCTCAAGTTTGTTAGGCAGAGTAAGTAACTCTCCTTTGTCAGGTCTACTTCGACCGCCATTTTGGTTTATGGCGTCTATTGTTCTAGTTCGACCAATGCGCATCGCGGATCAATATTAGTAACAATCAGAGAGGTCGGCAGAAAGCTTTAAAATTTGAAATCGACTCTAAGTGATTTACGTCTCTTTAAGAATCGTTTACTCGTATCGTTTTTCTATCTTTCAAAACAGAAATTTGCTCAGATATTGAATATTAATGAAACTGTAAGACAGTAACCTGCTTGTTATAACGGTTCCTGAAATCAACGAAAAATTTTCTCCTAAAGAAAGGGGACAGCCAGACATCAACGAAACGGCTTAGAGAAAGGAATGGCAATACAGAAAGAAATGTAGAGCTGTGGTCTAACAGGACAATTCACTCACGTCCGAATTGATTACTTGAAATACTATAGAACACATTGCCAAGAACATGTAAAGAACGTATTCAGGTTAAAAACGCAAAAAAAGACCGGCATTTTTCTTTTTCTTTTTTTACGATTTGAGCAAAATGACCCGTGCACTAAATGAGGACCTAAGCAGTCAGGACGGCAACACTAAGACAATCGTCGATTAAAAATACAATTTTTCTTTCTCATTTAATTTTACGAATGACCGGAGGTGTTTACCGTCGATAACGGTAACAGACTCAAACTCAAATGCATCTTATTTGAGTAGCGTTCGGTTCCAAGTAAAAGAAGAGAACATCACACCGTTAGAATCCCGTTCTCAGACCACGTCAATTTTAGTGATTGCACAGTTTCTTGTTGATCATCGTCCTTGCAACGAGGGGTTTTTCCCGGGGTTCTCTGGTTCTCATCCCTCCACAAAAAAAGAAAATTCTAAATTTCACTTCAATATGGAATCAGTGGACAAGAAGGGCCACTTTGTCGAATTTCCCCTGCTATAGCCCCATTTTTTTAAAACAAAAAACAAAAAAAAAACAGTTTCTCCATCTGGTATCAACCATTTATTGATTTCTTTAGATTTACTAACTAAGCAATTACCTGATGCTCATTAAATATTAAATAAATTAGAAGTGATTCAAGACTGTGCATTTCTACCAAATTTTCTACAACCTTGCACTTAAATGTACACACATCTTCAAGAAAAAAGAATAGATGCCTACTAAACTTATCGCCATACTCAATATATTAATAATGTGTATAAGAAATTAGGTGAAGATATCTTTTTTAAGTAGTTTTGTCAAAGCATATGAGCTGGCTGTTAAAGTGTGATAGCATTTGATAAACATGACAGACATTCACCTGCTCTGATGGCCCACAGTGTAGCATTAACAAGGTTTCTTTTAGCAGAAATCTCTTTATATTTTTCCCCTAAAATATCTTAGGTTCTCAACCTCATTCCCAGGGCTTTTTTCCTTAGTTGGGGGTGGGGACAGGGTGGGGCACCCACCCCACCCCACCCCCAGCTAAGGGAAAAGCCCTGGGAACGAGGTTGTTTAGTTCTTACATCACTAAATGGTTGAGTTTGAAAACCTTTATGTAGCATAACTTTACCCAACTAACCCTTCAGACCCTGAGAGTGATCAGAACCTAATTTCTTCTTACAGTAACAATGCTGAATCAATCATTACGATTATAAGAATAAAGGAAATGATCACCAACATAAAAAGCTTTGTCAGTTCATCAAATTCTCCTTACCAGCACCAAAGGAAGTGTATGGAGAAGAGAATGGAAAACATGGATGCTGATGGTAAGGAGGTAAAGGGTTAATTACCCCAAGGGTTGTTAATTACCCCAGGGGTTGTTAATTACCCCTAGGGGTTGTTAATCAAAACCTAACAAATCTATAAGAAATTTTGTACCCCAACATGCAACACAAGGTTCTACCTTAGTTTTACATGAGTTTGTAATGGGAGATCATCATCTGTCATGGCCTCATGATTGCCAAAAAAAAAACCTGGAGATTCCATGATCACTGCAAAACTGCATTCTGTACTTGATAATTCTTTTTTTAATGACCATTACTTTATAAAGACTCTCAGTTATTATATATTAACAATGCAGCAGAAATGTTTAACTGCATCAATGTCAGTGTCTGAAAAATTGTGCACCTACCCCCGCACCCCACTAACCCATCATTAACTCTGACCCATTATTGTTTGACTGTTAATGGTTAAAGAAGGGGTAGGTGTACAGTTGAACAGACACTGACTTTGATCCATTCAAACAATGAACCATTTTTGAGAAAGCACTTTTTCAAGTTCCAACATAAATCATAAATGAGACAACTCAAAAAGTATGCTTTTAACTATACACTGACGAAAGTAATCAAGCTTACAACAACAAAATATGTCACAAAAAGCAAGAGCACCAATATCATATCCGAGAGAAATAACTGGCCATGCGAAAATAAACAGGGGATTACTTAAACTTCCAGCAGCTGATCAATCACTGAAGAAAAGGTATCAGACTATGAATACCACACTGCAAAGAGACTGAAAAAAAAAAATCACTTTTGAGGCTAGCCTTAAGAGTGACCCTGATCGTTTCTCCAAATGGCATCCCAGCCCCTCTCCTCATTTTTGACTGTCACTCACCCCCTTGGTAAAAATTTCTTTCTCTCCTCAACTTTCCTCTGCCATTAAAGTCAAAGATGACAGCCATTTTTCACTAACATGATACTGAGCATTCAATTGCACAAATGATGTCTGCTCTGCAGGCAATCAAAAAGGCCTGCAAAGAGGAATGGCTATCTCATGCCAGCTGTACTGGACTTCCCCAAACAAGAAACAGCTTGAAAAACTTGCTGTGCTCATTGCTGCAGAGAGGAATAAGACTGCAGAAAGGCAGGGCTCAAACACTTACTTTTCAACTTACTAGCCAAGTGGCTAGTGACATCTTAGATGTTACGACAATTTCAGTATGTTTACTAGCCAAACTGGCTAGTGGAAATCACAAACCATAAGCCAAAACTGAATTTCTACTGGTCTGTGGCTAATTGGCTACTGTTGGTGTTGAGCCTTGAGAGGATTAAGTATGTTTGAAAATTTGAACTTAGTAGATAGCTATATGATTGCTGATTTGATGCAAAAGTGATGTTAGTTAATAACAATTTTAAGTATAGACCTTTAAGCTATCATGTATATCAATGAGGTGCCTCTAATCAGAGTACTTATTTAAAAAATTTTTCACCAAAAGACCAAATTAAAAGTTAAATTTAAACTAACCAAATTACAAACTATTTATCTATTGCCTCTGTTGCTCTACAAACGTCATGGCTGATATCATGGGCTGGGTAAGGCCTGGGGACAAGGACTGCACATCGTCAAGAATGTTAGCTGTGACATTGTTAATCCTACAAAGAAATAAATTCAATAAAAATATTTGATGGAGTATTGGAGTCTTATTGCCTCACTGTTGGAGGTTGGAGGTTGGAGGTCGTGGGAGGAGGTGCAGACAGCAGCAACCAATCAAGAGGAGTGGAAAAGCTCTGTGAAGGCCCTATGTGCCACGAGGCATGAAAAGGACTGATGATGATGATGATGATGATTGTCTCGCTGCGCACTTTTTCAACCCTTTAAACCCTACGAATGACCAGCATCTAATTTCTCCTTACAATATCACCCCTGAATCACAGATTAAGGTCAGGAGAATAAAGAAAATGATCAGTCACTGAAGAAACTCTTGATTGTTAAATAAATTCTCCTTGTCAGCACCTTCGGAAATGTATAGAGTACAGTATGGAGAATATGGAAGGGTAACTAGTTTTTTTCTGAGTGTGTGTTTCTGTGTTGTTGTATGTGTTACTTTAAGAAGTCTTAAGTACCTGATACCGTTACTCATTACAGTATTTAAAATCCAAAGGATGGCTGCTCAATTCTATTAGCCTGGTGGTTATTTTGGGCAGCCATGCACTTTACTTTATTTGTTTTATTACTTTTTTGTAATGTAAATTTAATTTAATTCAGGGTGCAAAAAAAGTTATTGTTATAAAAAGAAAATAATTCAAACACTGGTTATTTTTGGCAGCCATGCACTTTATTTTATTTGTTTTATTACTTTTTTGTAAAGTAAATTAATTTAATTCAGGGTGCAAGAAAGGTTGTTGTTATAAAAAGAAAATAATTCAAATACTGGAAAATTATAGACGAACAATCGACGTTTCGTTTCTTTTTATCATATTCTCAACTGGATGACTGATACAATTCATAGCCATAAAGTTGTTGTTGTTGTTGTTGGTGGTGGTGGTGGTGGTGGTGAAGAGGGCTAATAATTTCTGCATCAAGCCTGTAAGAACATTGATTTACCTTGCCCTTTACAAATTCTCGAAAGTACAGATGGTGATATTTTATTCTGGCAACAACTAAAAAATACCACATGCAAAAATGTAATCATTTAATGATATTCCTTGGGAGTTTACTTGATCTGGATCCATGGACAAACTTGACATTTTGGAAAATGCATTTCTTACCATTCTTTTTGTTCGTGGGGTAGCCTAGGAATGGAATCTTTGTCTTTCGGTACCAGGCCAGCTTTTAAACTTTTGAAATTAGACTCGATATTTTTTTTGTATTCCATCATTGGAGTGCCAGCCTGATTAACAGATTGCTGTTCCGTAACAAAATAAAAAAAAAGATATGATCAGGAACATTTAGAATTAACATGCGCTCAGCACTGTACTATAGTTAAAAATATTAGCACTAATCAAGCCTAATTGGTTGCAAAAAAAAATTCCAAGGGCATGGATATCTATATTATTCAGAAAATTCAGTAAAAGCCTTGATGAGAGTAAATTGCATTATACTGCTAAGGGAACAACCCACAAAATCGTTAAGTTCTCAATGAGCCTAATTAATGAAGCTGTCAAATATTAACCAGAGGATCACAAAGTAAGTTAAACTGAGCAACAGAAACTCTGTATGGTGAGCTAAGCTGTTACAATGTTGTAAGCAGGACCAGTGGCATAAGCAAACCTGGAAATTGCCTTGACACTTTCCCTTCCATGAGTGACCAAGACAGAATTTCTCCTTAGAATATTAATACAGTATCAGGCAGACAAGTAATGAGAGTAAATTAAAAAATATCAATTAGGGAATTATTAGTTGATTTGGTACCAAATTCTCCAAACCAACATCATAAAAATTGTAGTTAGACAGAAAGGAGAATTTTTAATCAGATCTTGGGAGACTCAATGGTGAAACAATAAAGGTTTTCTTCCTCGTGGGACTCAAAATTTTTCCTTACACCCGCACTTGTGACAAGACCGAAAAAAAATCTTTCTTTGTTTCATTGCTAGGCTCAAAATTAACCATCTTTCTTATTCGATGATAATTTGTTGACACTGTATTTCACCACAATGAAAAGCCAAAACTTATTCATAATTATAACCATAGAAAGTACTCAAGAAGGCAAAAACTGGTACCAGTAGCTATTTAATTTGCAAAAAGATATCCTACAATTTGGCAAATGGAATCTTCCTTGCCAAATGACATGAAAAATAAACCAAGATAAATTGTGTAATGTTTTAATATTGAGCAGTATCTTACATATAGCAGTGCAGTCTGATGTGCCATGTATTTGTGGTTTGTGAGGTTGAATGCATCACTGTTGAGCTGATGGCTCAGTGTTATAAGCTGGTTCAACATCCCAAGGTGTGGAAAATATCCTGAAACAATAACCACAATTAAATGGTAATTAGCCTGCAATAAAGGCGTCTTATCAGGACGAGTCAATGTTATAAGCTTATGATTGTTTATCGATGCCATGTTTGATTAAGAGTCAGCGTGGACTGTAGGGTAGGGGGTGGGGGAAGGGCAAGGAGTAATATTCACACTCCCACTCCAGCCCCCTCCTTATTTTTGACCATCACTCACCCCCTTAGTACAAATGTCTTTCTCTCCCCTGCCTTCTGCTGCCATTAAAATCAAAGATGGCCGCAATTTTTCACAAAGAAAATACTAAGCACAAACACTTTCCCAAATTTCACCTGATCTGCAGGCTATTAACTGGCTGCCACAATACACAAATTCCCTAGCATATTCTTTTCTGTTCTTCTTCTTTTTGTTTTGGTTTTAGCCCCAGAGAAACAGATGACCATGTGTTCTGTTTGACTATTTTAGCTGACAGCAGTATCAAGTACTGGACTATTGATACACAAGGAGAAAAACTTACCATCCATGGAAGATTTCTGGGTTTGAAATGCTGGCCTCTCAGGATTTTTTAAATATGAAGTGACTTTTGGAAACAGTAGAGACAATCCAGTCTGCCGCAAATAATCCTAAAGAAAAGTACATTTTCTATTAATCAAGATCTCAAACAATGTGAGAGAATGGGGAAAGGGGTGCAATTGCCATTTCATAATAGGAGACATCTCTTTCCAAAACCAATCAAATCCTAAGACAAGAACCCCTCTCTATTAGCTTTTAAACAAGATAAGGCATACAACTACATTAAATAAAAAAGACACACACGATGTTTCCTCGAATAAATGCCCATACTCTAATAAGCAACCTCCCTGAATAAATGCCTCCCCCTAGGCAATAGTTTCAATCCAGCAACCCCCCCCCCTCAGATAAATGCCCAGGCTCTTATTACCATCCTCCCCATATTAATGCCCACCCCCTAGACCATAGTTTCAAACAAGGACCCCCCTCAAATAAACACCCCCTCCCCCTACTCATGCCTTACTTTCTTGAATAGTAGGGATACATTAAGAGAAAGCTTTTTCTACTGCCATTTCATTTATCACTTTTTAAGCTTCAACTACAATGAAGTCACTGCAGGAGAAAAAAAAATTTTTTTCCATTCTAGTCATTTCCATCTGCACATGCTTGCAGAGTTCCTTTTGTTACGAGGATCGAATTATTTTTACTGAATCTGTCATGCAATCCCAGACTTTTTTAGAATTATCTATAATCTGTAATGTTCCAGAAACTTCTTTCGTGTGACTCAGCAGTTTCCAAAAATAGTACAACTTGTAATACGCTATAAATAGTAATAGAACGTTCTAGGTAACTAAAGTAAATGTATAAAAGCTGGCTTGTGAGAAGTACATAGGAGATTTGCCTTAGGGCTTACCCTCGTGGCTTGCTGACTGAACTATTGGAAGCTAAGATATGACGAGGCTATGACCTTTTGACCTTGCGATATCCGGAGAGAAGAAAGAGATGAAAAAGACAATAGTCAAGAGAAGAAGAAGATAGAGAATACAGAGTTTACTATGGAGTCCTCCAGAAGAGTTTGTGTACAAGGAAAGAATGCGATAAATCAAGAAAGCCAAGCGCTGTGGTCTTCAGTCGGTGGATGTTGGAATTGGAAGTTGATCAAGACGACGAAAACTTACACGGCATGAAGGATTGTAAGCCTGCTTTATGAACTGCTTAACTTAATCTTTAACCTAAGTCAATTAGACAATGTAAAACTAATTAAATAATAGTTAAAATGGGTAACTGCTTGTTGTTACATTTTTGTTGCGTGCCATATATCGTACTCGGGAGTCTACTTTCATATATGCTTTGTTAGCGGACATTTGTTGGTCATTCGTGCACGTAACACTTTATATAGAATGATTTTAGTCCTATTGCTGCACTAACCTATTAGAGGAAATGTGGTATTTATGCTTTTGTATGCTAGTGGTCAAGCAAGTACATATCTGAAACAATGATCATAGGCATGTACACTATACTGCACATAATATTATGCAATTAAAAAATCTCTAAGGCAAACTGCTTGAATGAAAAAGTCCCTATAAAAATTGAGAAGAAAATATTTCTATCAGTTATAATCGTTCCTTGGCAAATTGCTATTTATCATCCATAATATTTCACTTACTTTTAATGATGGTCTAGGATCTGGAAGAAATTGGATAATTTCTCGCATTTTCTCAAAGAGTACTTGTGCTGAAACATCAAATTCCATAAAAATTAAAACTTTCACCACAGTTATGCCTAAATGAATGAAAACTTTCCTTCTTAACAAATAATTTGTGTCTGCTATAAAAAATTTAACATCAAGGGTTTGTGCTGTAGAATGGTTACTTAGGATTTGGATAAAAATCAAAATTCTACAGATCACTTTGAGTAAAACTTTTAGACAAGGTCACTTTTGATTAAAACTTTTGACCAGGGTAACTTTTGAGTAAACTTTTAGCCAAGGTCACTTTTGATTAAAACTTTTAGATAAGGTACCTTTTGAGTAAAACTTCTAGTAGGCAACTTTTGTAAAAGTAGGATATGTTATGAAACTCTACACATCATATGTATCCTGGCAGTACGTAGGAAGTTTGTCATCATGGACCTAGTGTAAACAACCTAGCCTGTCACAAGTCTCCTGTGGCTTGGGACCCAGTTGTTCGAAGGCTGATTAGTGTTAACCCAGGGTTAAATTTTAATTCAAGTAAATTCCTTATTCCACTCTTCAAATGCCTTTTCCAGACAATTTTCTCTATTCTTGCAGGTTTCATGAATGTTTTCAGCAGGAGGGTAACTGGTTTTCATAGGCGGGCAAAACCTTTTTGAACTGAACTTCATTATAAGATAAACTTTTCTCCAAATTGTCAAACCAGGTGGGCAAAACCGTCCTCGCGACTGGTCAATTTGCCCGCTGCCCGGCCCTTAATGAAACCCCTGTCTTGGTAGAGCATCGAGTCATCAAATTGTGGACAAAAAGAATAATGAGATACAGTAAATATATGAAGTTCATATATTTTGAACTGCGGTATTAGATACGTATGATGCACGATCCTCGCAGTAGATAGCGCTATTTANTGACCTCTGCGATACTAGTGCAGCGCTCTACCAATTGAGCTAACAAGCCAACTGGGAGCAGGCCGTTAAGTTGATTCGTAATAAACCCGTGAAAGTGATAAATGAGATACAATGAATATATGAAGATCATATATGATCTTCATATATTCATTGTATCTCATTTATCACTTTCACGGGTTTATTACGAATCAACTTAACGGCCTGCTCCCAGTTGGCTTGTTAGCTCAATTGGTAGAGCGCTGCACTAGTATCGCAGAGGTCAATGGTTCGAGTCCCGTACAGGCCTGATTTTTTTCAGGTCTGATTTTCGCTATTGCATAAATAGCGCTATCTACTGCAAGGATTGTGCATCATACGTAAAAATAATAATAATAATAAATTATCTTTAAAGGCTATCAAACCTGAAATCAAATGTCACATTAATCCTGGCTCATCTTAACCCTTTAACTCTGATGAGTGACCAAGACAGAATTTCTCCTTACAATATCAATACAATATCAAGCAGACAAGTGATGAGAATAAAGAAAATATCAATTAGGGGACAATTAGTTGATCCAATACCAAATTCTCCACACTAATACCATAAGAATTGTATTGCAGACGGTAAGGAGAATTGCTATTGAGATCTCAGGAGTGCAAGGGTTAACCCAGCTTTGTACAACCCAGTTCAGTGGTAGACATCTGATGCCCGATATATTCTGTACGATTTCTTTCTTTTAAGCGTGTGACGCTGTCACAGCCGTCACAACAGAGGGTAGACTGGGCTTGACTCATTCATCAGACTGTTAAAGATACTCAAACGATTGACTGAACTTGACTCATTCATCAGACTTAGTGACGCGTAACTTTTTTTAGGCTGGGGTTGTGTGAAAAATATATCTGGCATGGTATAGTAGTAGAGCATCCAATATCCTGATGGGAAGATCGCGGTTTGGACTCCCATGGAGAGCACTCTGAGATTTTCTCACCTGTGTCAATCCCCGAATAACATCTTCTTTTATCTTCCTTCCATTTCAAGATTGAACTTTTGTTACCCAAAATTTTTTCAAACTTTGAAAAATTAGTATGAAAATCAATGTCCACACACAAAGCCTTTCTACTAACACTCCTATAAAATACCACAGTTGACGAATAGGTTACTTAGCAATTAAAAACTTGCAGCTTGCACATGTACCTTTTGGTTCAAATTTGTTTTGATATTCCACTTTATGACTTGCATCGATCTTTCCCATCGTTGTCTGGAATCGAGAAAAAGATTTATCCCAAAAAATGTTACGTGCCTATTAACATTCTTGAAACTTGGGAAGTCAATACATCGAGGAAAATCGAGTTACGTATCAATAGTGATCAGTGCGAGTGACTAAGAACTAAAATGTGTACTGTTGGCCACTCAACTTAAGAAAAACAAAAGAAAAGAGAAATAAAATAAACTAAATGAAAGCGGTGGAAATTAAAATGTTTCTTACAGCGTACTCCTTCTTGCAAAGTGGCTCCAGTTGGGAACACAAGGTCAGAACTTCAATAGCAACATCGTCTGGAGAAAACTGAACTTTCCAGAGTGGCTCATGAAGTCGGACCTCCACTGCAGGATATAGGTAAAACAGGTGCATTGACATGTTTGGTTAATATTCACAGGGTAGGGAAGGAGAGGAAGGCCAAAATGCACCAACCTTTGAATGAAGGGTCGTAGGCGAGAGGTACACATAACGGCCCTTGAAGTATGGCTCGTTCCATATTCAGTTTTCGATTTCAAGTCTTTGCGATGTTGGATTATCTGCACATAAAATCTGCATAGCATCTTCCTTCAGAGGACGCCATGACAGCTGCCCTGATAGATCTGTTATGTAGGATTCACAAATCATCCCACGTATTATATTCTCATTATTTCGATGTGCCGCTGACCAATTTGTTTAAAGGGAGTCCCGTTTTCAGATTTGCTTGGTGGCATCAGGCGGGAAGAGTATCCGACTTCATTAAAAAAAAAAAAAAAAAAAAAAAAAATTTCGTTGGTAAAGGACTGAATGAAAAATTAAACTAATTGAACAAGAAAAAAAAATGTTAAGCGAACTAGCGAACCGGTAGGTTCAGTAATCCAAAACATGGAGTTGACCCGGCGATTTAAACTCCTGCAGGTGGGAACTTAACGGGATGCTCGTCAGTTAGCGGGGCCTACAGAAGAGAAGGAAGGAGGTAATGTAAAGTTAAGTCTGTTTACGAGCCTAGTGGCTCATTAGGCAGGTGCTTAACTCCGGTTTCTGTAGCATGAAGCGACTAGGAGTATTTCTACTCACA